CGAAATATTAGAATTTTAGGCTCACTAAAAAAAAGACTATCTGTAGTCAGCTGGGAAGTGAATTTATGTCTCTCTACACCTTTTGATGTCTCTGGTCAATTTTAATCAGTCCTTTCTCTTTTCAATTAATTGGATACGATTGTGGTTTTTGTTTTCACAACAGGGATATGCCTTCCGGGTGATTGCAGAAATATTCAATTCGAACATCATATCGTCGATAAGATCCTATTTAACAATACTATCAGAACTGTGACAGTTAACAACAACGATATCTGCGAAATTTTCTGCTATAAAGAACCAAACTGTGTCTCTTACAACTGCGGTCCTGAAGACAGTGAATTAAAACAGTGTGACCTTAACAATCGAAGCCATCGGCAAGCATCCAATACTGACTTCATAATGAAGGAAGGCTACATTTATCGAAGCGTGCTGGTGAGTGGGAAAAGTAATCTTTGAAAAACTATCGTAACAGTAAGCTCATACATCCAAGTATCGAGTTATTTTGCTGGAAATCCTTTGTTATTGCATTTATTGACTGACATCATTCTTACAGAACCACTGTGAAAACAGCTCATGTCCGATAAATGCACAGTGTCAAGTTGGCTACACTATGAAAAAATATCGATGTGTTTGTCCTTCGGGCTTTGAAGGAGAGCAATGCGAGATAGGTAATCTTTATGTGTAATTAAAAAAAGAAAAACAGTTATAAATACTAAGGATCCTTAGTATTGTTTAAGTCTGATAGGAATGCTCCTCTTTCTGCTGTATACATTTGCCTTCAAAGTTATTTTTTTTCTTTGATTATTCTTTGTCTTCAAAGTTATTTTTTTTCTTTGATTATTCTTTGTCGCATTCTTTTCTATCACGAGTACCATACACAGAATTTTTATCACATTGGCCGTTTCACTTATCCAAGTCACTAGAATGACTTATGGTCATCGAAACTTTCATTTTGTTTCGATTATTTGATTATATTTTGCCATATTCTTTTCCATCACGAGCACGGTGCACGGAGTTTTTATCAAACTTGCAGTTTCACTTATTCAAGTCATAAGAATGACTTATGGTAATCAAAACTTTCCTTTGTTTCAGCTGTAAGGGAACCTGTTGCCTTGTACCCTTTAAATTCTGCCTATGGAACAAAAGACATGATGGGCAATCAACTGGATGGTATTCCTTCCAATGTGCAGCTCGCAGATGGACCGGATGGGGAATGTGAGGGCTCTCACCAGTTCTTGGGTACTCAGAATAGCTTTATCACACTTCCCAATCTCGGTGGTTTGGATGTCCAGTATTCCTTGACGGTGCTGATGTGGGTGTATCCACAAGGGCAGGATGGGCCTCTTTTCAACTACAGACCCTCAGGGGATTGGGAAGTTCACATATGGATAGTCAACGGAAAGTTTTTCTCCCGTATGGCTAAACGGGGTGGGCCGTTGTTTGCATACTTACTGAGTCCCACCCCACTGATGATTGGGCGGTGGGCATATGTAGCCACTTCCTATGACTACAACACTGGGATTACTCGGATGTGGGTCGATGGTATAGAGGTCGCACAACTGGATATTGGATTTCATTCAATGGCCACTAACTATGACGTTAGAATCGGTGTGAAGAGTGGTGATAGTCGACAGTTCAAAGGGAGAGTTTCACGAGTGCAAGTTTATGACGTAGCGTTAACTCTGGATCAAGTTTTGGCTGTTCAAAATCGAGGGAAGGGTTCGTGAAAACAGTAGAGGATCTACTCTGTGGTCAAACGTTGGGCATGCACGTGATAATCAATGATGCCAGCCACCCAACAATTTCCTGCTCAAAAATTTCAAAGGAAAACATAAGAAAGAACCGCTGTCTCGTAATATAAGCGAAAGAAAATTGACAAGTTTAAGATATCTGTTAAAAAAAAAAAGAAAAAATAGGAGGGAAACTCAAGACGTTTCGAACACAATGCATCTTTAAGTAGGTATCCAGTCGTTTCGTACCCAAGTTTGAGTCGGTTTTGTACCCAAACCGCTGATCTATTTACACATTTATTCGAAATAACTCACGCACCAGCACGTGAACAGATGTCAATCGTCGCATACGACAAGTAAGAAGAGTCAAACGAGTAAGATTCAAACAAACAATCTGCTTTGTATACTTGTGACCTTCTTGACAAAAAAACTTAATTATCACTAAGTTGATAAAACCAAATTATCTCCTCATACTCCCCCACCGACGCAGCACCACAGTTTCTTTAGCAACTCACCCCTTTATTCGATTAACTTAACTATTGCCTAGCGCGGGGTAGGCGATACACTTTTTCTCCAATTAATAACATTGAAAACATAATTTATCTGTATGGGTACGAAACGACCGAACTGGGTAAAAAACGTTCGTGCATATGAAACGACCGGTAACTCTGAAGTACGCGTACCCTTTTTTGGACTTTACGGAAAATGGTAAAATGTTCTAGAAATAACGTGACTTGGTGGCTTGTGTGGTTGTTTGTGTTCGTGTAAGTTAGCATGGTTCTGACAGCCTGAAAGTACGTCACCTAGTCATTGCAACGGCAGAGTAATGATAGGAGTGAAGTCATTAGTGATAGAATTTCGTAGGCTGAGGGGAAGTCGCATTTAATCGAGTAATAATATTCTCAGATGACTTTACATTTTCTAAACACTACCATACGATAGTGACATAGTACATCTATTTTGACCAAATAAGGATATGATGTCATCTGTCAAGAAAAGCGAGAAAATTTGTCTTCAGCTGTTCGATTGTATGGATATTGTATCATTACTAATTAAACAATGGTGGGGTTAACCGCGAGCTGAAATAATAATCACCCGATTTAGACCTTCAGAATAGAGATTCTTGTCCGAATTTATGAAAAACCAAGCAAAAAGGCGAAAGACAAAGTCCGACAGTAGTAAGAGCGATGAAAATCTTTTCCATTTTCTTCCGAAAAAGTGTCTTATTGTGCCAGGTGTTAGCTGGAGAGATTCCTATTGTTTTTCTCATTAGCCATTCATATGTAAGATTAACTCCACAAGCCATAAATATAACGGAATTCCGTGTCAAGGTAAGCTCCGTTTTCATTTTGCCGCCTGATGTTTTCTGTTGAGAGCATGGCGAGGGCAATATACCTCGTTGCCTTTCTCTTGATGCCTTCAATTTATGCAAGTAAGAATAATTTTTTGATTTTTCTATTCCTTTTTTCGCCTTATGAATTAACGAAGCTCTTTAAAACCAATAATACTACGACTAAAGATCAATTTAAAGAATCGATTTTGTGACCAAGGAAATCTTAATCTCTAAAACGAATCTGAAAATTTTTGGATCCGACCTAATTATGAGTTTGAATTCTCAAGATTCTTTTTTTTTATCAAAGTAACTTTTCAAATAGGAGGTTGAAATTAAGAACAGAAATTAAAAAAACAAAATTGTGTCAATGTTAAATAGGTTGCGAAAGGTCGCAGCAGCTACACAATATTTTTATACATAATAAAAAGACGTTTTTAAATGCCTTTCTAATTTTTTTAACAAACTTATTGCTCTAAATATTAAAGGCTGCTTTTTAATCGAATGTTTTTCAGTAGTTTCAGAGCACACTGATCCCATGCTCTTGTTGTGCGTAGGTGGTGTAATTAAGTTGCTTGTTTCATCCCAGAGAGGTCACCTCAAAAGCGGCTTGAACACTGACCTTAATCCTCCTGCCTAATTGGCCAGCAAATACGACACGGGTTATCACGGAAATAGTTAGGTTTAGCACCTAAATACGATAAATTTAATTTGGTTTTCACAATTTTTTACACATTTTATTGATTGATCCGATTAAAATTCTTAAAGGGCCTTCAAAATCTTAAAAAAAATTGTCATTAATAGGATCAATTAAGTAATGATTGCACCTCGTGTGGTGCAGGTCAGGGAGTCTCACCAAGAGTTATTGTATATAACAATCGGTTCTTTACGATGCATTCTTTACTAGCTCTTAACAACAACTGCCGAACCATCCAATTCGAGCCTGTAACCAAGGATAAGATTCTTAAAAACCATGTTATAAGAAATATCAGTGTTCAAAGTCAGTCCCAGTGTCAGTCAAACTGCTTCCAAGAACCCAACTGTGTGTCCTACAACTATGGTCCATTACACAGTGATACACCAACATGTGAGCTTAGCAATCGCACCCACCTGCAAGTCTCCAGCAGCGATTTTTTACAAAAAAGAGAATACATCCACCAACACATCAAGGTAAGGTACAAAACAATAAATCATAGGAGCACTTTTGGATCGATTATCCAAAGCAAAATTTAAACATTTTTTTAAAAATGAATCAATTTTACTCAAGAGACGTTATTATTCGCTTGAATTTAATTGAGTGATGAGATGCCTTTTTTTCTTGAAAAAGTGAAATAACACGAAACTATTGCTATTCATAACCACTTTGAAAACGCCAAATTCCTCAAGTATTTCTGATGATGTAATGTACACAATATTTCGATGAAGTGATTTAGTATTTGCGCTTAAATCCTGGTTAAACCCTAATCAACCCCATGTAAGTTAAACTGTGACCACACACATAGTCTCCGATTTAAGCCCTTACATACTTTTTTTTAGAATTCCTGTGAAGGCAGCCCCTGTCCGAGCAACACGTTATGTCAGGCTGGGTTCACTAATAGGGGATATCGGTGTATTTGTGTTAACGGGCTGGAACAAGGCGCTAATTGCAATGAAGGTAAATCTTAGGGTGAAGTTTATTTCTTTTACAAACAAAAACAAACATATTCAATCAAGCAAAGAAACAGACATAGAGAAACAATTTGCAGTCAGATCCCGAGGCTGGTACTTTTAATTTCAACATAAACGGTTAGGAACATTAAAAAGGCGAAGAACACTAAGATTGAATGACTTACTAGCTGTCCAATCTGTAATATCAAAATGAATATTTAGCTTTTCAAGGAAAGCAGTACAATTACATCTACTCAATTACTTGTTGGTGCTTACTAGCATATCCAGACTATTTAAAAAATTGTTTCGAACTGAATGTCTTTTAGGTTGTGATTGTGTGGTCGTGATACACTATACGCTGTTATATAATTTAAGAACATAAATTTTTCATAATATCCAGCAATGTCCGCTCTGTTGTCACCGTCATCAGCATTTCTGTCGTCTTCCTCATCCCCATCATCATCATCTCCATCATCATCATCTCCATCATCATTCCCTTCATCGTCGTTATCTTCTTCATCGTCGTCACCGTCGTCGTCATCGTCGTCACCGTCGTCACCGTCTTCGTCGTCGTCATCGACAACATCATCACTATCGTCCTCTTCTTTATCAACGTCGTCACCGCCGTCACCGACGCCTACGTCGACGTTTCTTTTCTCCTCATCATCGCAATCCCCGTCACTACCGTCTTCCCAATCCTCGAGGTCGTCGCTGATGCTGCCGTCCCCATCAGCAGGCATATCGCCTGATCCAACTCCATTAGGTATAGTTAATAACTCCATTCTTAAACTTTGAATGCATTTCAAACGAATGAAAAAGTTCCACACTGAAACTTTGGCCAAACGAAAGTTGCTCGATTATGACGAAACACTAAGTGACGACAAATACTACGACAGAGACAGACGTAGTAGTCATGAGTAAAACGGTAGAAGGGCGTAATGGTGGAACAAAAACTGGCGATAAAAACGTTCTCGGCGAATTTACAACTCAATTCTAAGAGCCTTTTCAAGAATTTTGTGTCCGCAAATGTCTGCACTGAAATTTGGCTAGATATGAGTCACATAAATATGAAATCAAGTGAATGAAAGAATGACAAAATTTCTCGAAGTTAAGGCAAATTTTTGAAGCCGTCGAAGCCATATGGTAGTGGGAAAATTCAGGTAACGGTCATAAGAAGTCCATGCTGAATGTCAGAAATTTAACTTAACTTAAGTTATTAAGTTAAGTTAAGTTAAGTTTACGATCAGCACTTGATCCCCTAAGAGAGAAAAGAAATTCAACGCAACACGGCCAATCACTGTATTTCTCTACGGTTTAAGAGTTTTGCCTTTTAACTTATTGATATATTGGTGGATTGATTGATTGATCGACCGATTGACTTCTCTGACTGACCTCCATTAGGAAAAGGATTTACAAACAGATTTATACAATGATGTTGGTACAAAACATTAGAACGAGCTTAGCAAATTAATTTTAATCGTTATATTTTAATAATATTTGTTTTTCCTTTCTTAGCGTGTTCCGAAGATTGGCGTTCTTTCCAAAGCTCATGCTATCACCTTACCACAGGTGAAAAGAGTTGGAACAACGCAAAATTGAAATGTTTCACCAGTGGTGCCCAGTTGGTAAAAATTGATTCTTCTGAAGAAAACGACTTTATCAAGACGACATTTTTGGCTGACGGCGCAGATTACTGGATTGGATTAACAGATGAGGAGACTGAAGGAAGCTGGAAATGGTCTGGCGGAAGCATTCTCGAAGGATTTCAAAAGTGGCATCAAAGCCAGCCAAATGGCAATACTTGGCAGAATTGTGGTGGAATAAGAATGGGATCGTTTTGGCCAGGGAATTTCGATGCAGAGTGGCACGATAGAAGTTGTGAAGAACTCAGAGGGTACATCTGTGAAAAATAAAATTTGGGGATCGTTTTCATTATATTTTGGGCATTTATCTCTCTCTTGTAATAGTTTACTTACCTGCGTATTCATTTGTTCCTCCAATTTGTTCCCTCTTTATTTTTTACTTCTACGGGAGCTGATATCTGTTATGACTAAGAATACATGTTGGAACACAAAAGGCCATTAGACAAACCAAGTAACGTCCGTCGAATAGATTTGACTGAGTTTTCGATTCTCGGCCCATTTGTAAACTCACTTTTTGCAAAATCACAACAACATTCGTTACGCAGTCGTGACGACTTGATATTCACTGATTTATGATACTTATTAGTTTCAATGACTGAAGGATGGGGGAAAATGTCCAAAAGTTTTGCATTTGTTTTTCAGGAGATATACTTGACATATTCACTTTTTGTCATAAAGGGTTCTATGGCAGTCGCACAAGAAGAAAAAACTGAGCTACCTATGTGTAAAAAAAGCGGTACAGATATACAAATCAACTCAAAAATTAATTCATGACTGATTAAATGCAGTTAAAAAAATTGATGAATCCTCATCAATTGTTTGATGAAGGTGCAATGACAAAACCTACCTTTCCACCCTTTTAAACCTAAAAAAAGTGTTCTTTTTCATATGAAGAGATTTCTGTCTCAGTTTAAACTGATGTCTTAGAATCATAATATGACTTCTATTTCATTGATCAAAAGTATTGGCGGACGTTTGTAAGAATGGATAGCGTTCCATTAGGCTTAACAAACCGGGCGTCGCTGCCCTGTATGTGACAATTGTCTCTTAAAAGAAGCACACTTCTCAGGGAGTTTATTTTAGCGATACATACTAAGTATTGAATTAATTTATCTTAATAAGAGTTTTATACGACTGGCACTTAATAAGGGTTAAAAAAAATTGAATAAATCCTCACTGACAGTTCAATGAAGCTGCAAAGACAAATCATTCAAACACCCTTGCTTAAAGACAAAACTGTGCAGTGAATCTTCTTTGATATTCCTATTTCACCTTTTAAAAGTGAACTGAATATTGTTCTACTCCGTCTGAAAAGACTTCTGTCTCTGGTTGAGGTGATGTATTAGAATCATAATGTCAGTCTTATTTCATTCATTGAAAGTGGAAGCGGACGCTTGTAAACAGGATTAGCGTTCCATCCTAATACTTTCAAGAGGTTAACTCTAATTCTAAAAAATTTATCTCATCGTGGAAAGAAATGTTATCGTTCTTTGTGTTGCTAAAGTGCTTGTTGGTCACTTGCGGATTAATTTCAAGGATCTTGCTCTTAACTTTTGAAGCAAAGAAGAGCTGGCATAAACGCAGTCACCATGTTCGTCATTTGGCGCTCACATGATGAATAGAACAAAATCAGGCTTACCAAAAACCCTCTTACACAATTCGTGAGTAATTACTGGAGAGGAAAAAACCGATATTTAACCTTTGGAAGTGGTCTGGCAGAAGCATTATGACGAAATAAACTACCTGAAGAGCTTGAGTGTCGAGCAATTTTGTAACGGTTACGACCCGGGGAGGGGGAGGTTGGGGAAACAGTCAATTGTCAGACTTGACAGTCTTGATATTTGAATCAAGAAAAAATTGATGAAGGTAATAGTTCCTACCCAGTGAATGTAGCACAACCAAAAGCTATGCTAACGTAATTCGGTTGTATTTTTGAAATTTGTGCGAATAAGTTCCAAATCCAAAGAAATCGTAACGGCCCATCAGCACAAGGGAATATATCATAAGGAGCTCAAAGGGCTCAAAGTTAAAACACAAGTAGATGACTGAAGCGCTGGAAAACGTGATTGGAAATGGTTTTGAATTCGTTTGATGAGTTTTCTGGACCAACCACGGAGCGAAGTGGAGCAAAACCATAACAGTCCCGGACAATTATCTACATTCAATTGAAAACAGCTATTACTCTACCTTTCTCGTCATTATTTTTATCCAAACAATACACCAAGTGTTTTTCTGGAGGTTTCCTAAACTAATCCTATCGAATGATTTCCTTACCATACATTGATTGTTATGATAATAGGAGAAGAAAATGCACAAAAATTGAATGAAGCAGTTTCTATCTTTGCTCGAGCGACTTAAAAAAAGCAAAGAAAAAAGGCGAAGTACAAAATCCGACAGAAGTAAGGGTCATAACATGTTTTTCTACTGTCTTCATAAAAGTATCTTTTTGTGCCAGGTGTTAACTGTAGGGGTCATTATAGGTTTTTTTTATTATTATACAATAATAAGCGACAATAACTCCACAAGCCATGGATGTAACGGGATTCCGTGCCAGCGTGAGTTTAGTTTACAATTTGCCGCCTGAGGTTCTCTGTTGAAAGCATGGCAAAGGTGAATGTCTCGTTTTCTTTCTCCTAAAGTCATCAGCTTATTAGAGTAAGAATACTTTGTTTATTCACGCCTCATGAATTGACGAGGCTTTTAACAACTATAATAGTACGACCAGATGTCAGTTGAAATTATCAATCTGTGACCAATGAAATCGAAATCTCCAGAATCTATTTCATAATTTTTCGATTAGGATTTTAATTATTATTTTCCCTTTTTTATCAAGGTAACTTTTCGTATAGGCGGTTGAAATCAAGACAGAAATCAAAAAAGAATATTTCCGGTTTAATTTGGTTGTCATTGGGCTGCAGTGTCCACACAATCCCATTCTGACCACTGTTTTACACAATGGGGAGATGGTTTTATTCGCGTCTCCAAACAAACATTATTTCAAGAGGACTTAGCTTATTTATTTGACTTAGCTTATAAATTTGACTTGACCGTTAAAGGCTACCTCGTAATCTAATACTGTTTATTTAGTCTAAGAGCACAGTGATCGCATTCAATGGTGAGTAATTAAGTGAGTTGTTTCATCTCAGAGAAGGCACCTAAGAAGCAGCTTGAACAGAGACCTAAATCCTCTTGCTTAATTAACCAGTTTGTTCGAAAGCTACCCGATCTGCATTTCACTAGAACTCATGAACAAACTCTCAATGCACTTTATTCATTCCTTTTGAAAAAAGAAAACATTACTCATTACTTTACATTTCTAATTTGTGAACCTTAATTTGTTTTTCACAATTGTTTTACATGCTTTATCGATTCAGCTAATAAAAAAGTTCTCAAGAGGCTTTTAAATCCAAAAAAGATTGTCATTGGTAGGATTTATTTATCAGTGATTTTCTCCCTTGAGGTAAAATCCAGGGAGTCTCATCGAAAAAAGGGTTGTTTTATAAAACAACGAGTTTTTGTGATGAATTCTTTATTAGCTTTCCTTACATGATAGATAAGAGTTGTAACATAAAACAACAAATTTATGCAATATATTTTTTGCCAGCTCTCACCAACGATTGCCGAACCATCCAGTTTGTAACCAAGGTTAAGATTCTTAAAAAAACCATGTTATAAGAAATATCAGTGTTGGACGAAAGTCGCAATGTATGTCGCAGTGCTTGGGTGAACCCAGCTGTGTGTCTTACAACTATGGTCCATTACACAGTGATACACCAACATGTGAGCTCAATAATCGCACCCAACTTGCAAGTCTTCAGCAAAGCTTTTATACAAAAGGGAGAATACATCAACCAACACATCTTGTAAAGAAAACCATTATTATAGGGGCACTATTGGATCGACTGTTTTAAAACAAATTTAAAGTTGCCTGGAACTTCACGGAGTGAAACAACGAGAAGCAACTGCTCTTTATGGTGTTTCTATACATGTCACTTACAGGTACGGCTTTCGTGTATCTTGAAACTAGAATCATTTTAATCGGGTTGAGGATGTAATTGTGAATGCTTAGTTCTTTCCTCACCTACCTTGTATGTATTGTTGTATGAAAAAGGGTGCGTAATGATTGATGATGTGCACGA